CCCACCATGCCCAAAACTCATTTTTCTAATTACCTCTCTCTCTCTCTCTCTCTCTCTCTCAAAATACTTACCGCTTTTGGTTTGCCGCCATGGCCTGTCGTGCTATCACCGTAGGAATCAGCATTGAAACCCCGATGGTTTCTATTTACAACTACAAAAATCCTCGATGAAATCAGCACCAAAACCAACTCCAACATCAAAATTGAAATGGAGAAAGACGGAGATAAAGCATCGAAGCTACAGTTGTAGTTCATGGATTCCGTCCTTAGTTGCCAGCAGCATCTCCGAAGTCTAATACACGCTCAATTTAAATGATTTTAGTTGAAAGTTTGAATTTTTAGCTCATTTGATTAGATTTTGTTGGATTATATTGTTTCAGTTCCTCTAAGGGTTGAGACTGGGGAGCCAATCTCATTTGATTAGATTTTGTTGGATTATATTGTTTCAGTTCCTCTAAGGGTTGAGACTGGGGAGCCAATGAAGGATCTGCTTTTTCAACCGATGTGTTTTGCCCAAAGAAAACCCTAGACAAAAAACCATGTACCTTGTACTTCTTTATTCATTGTCTAGTCTAGTAATATCCTACAATACCTTTCACATATTTTGCCAAAAAAAGCCAAATAGCCCTTAATCTAAAGTGAATTACATACTGAAATGGTTTCACTTTAACTTGTTTTTTAAAAAGAGGGTTTTCCTAATTAGAAAATTGATGGGTGTTACATTACTACATTATTAGGGGTATTAACCATTCACTAAACTTTTTTGAAAAACTAAATGAAAGGTGAATGAGAATTTGAGATATATTCTCTTTTCTTATTGTTATGTTAAATAATCATACGATCAATATAGTGGGGGTGAGGTTGGTTAGGGGCCGTTCACTTCTCTGAATATTTGGTTTTGAGTTAAGTAGCTTCTTTAGCTTGAACAAATAGGAACCCATGAGAGGATGATGACTAGTTCCCCCATGGTTCTTCTGTCGATCAAGCCAGTTGATGATCTTAAGTGGGAAAATTAAGAACTATGTGAGTTCTTTAGTGTAGTGCAGTAGAATTATTAGATATTGCTTGGAAAATAGCTTGGAAAAATCCCCCCTCATCATGTTGAGAATGATACCTCTATTTATAGTGGTACTGAAATGGTAGAACAATCATTTCGACCGAGCACAGAATGATGAAAAACAAGTATAGCATGGCGGTCTTGTTAGCACCTACTTTATAGGTGTCGATCAACGAGTGGAGGCAAGGTCACCTCGGAATTTAATGCGAGGTGATGGGGGTCATGGTGGTGCAGACATGACCGGATGTATCATCAAGGCTATCGGGGCTAGAGGAATGATTGCGCCTGCCAAGCATTTAATATGATGTCGATGTTCTGTGAATAAGAGATGCTCGATGTTGAAGTCATCCTTTAGCTTGGTCGAGAAGTAACGCCTGTCGAGTTGACCATACAAGGTGTCGAACAACTGGTCGAGTGGGCTCATACGAGTTGTCTTCGACAAGAGGGCCAACAAGTATCGCCATTTGAGTCGATTTAAGGAGATGTTAACTCGGTGGATTGGCTAAGTCAAGATTCTTGGTTGCCTTGACCGTCAATCTTGTTTGAACGGTGCATGTAGTGGGATACCTGTTCATTGCTGCCTAATGCCCATACTTTGGCGATTGAAAATATCATAACAGTTGGCTCCTTTAAGTTAGAGTCGGCTTGGGCCGGTTCCGAGTGAAATGAGAGTAGTTTTGGACAGACGTTGGTGTGCATTAAATGAGGGAATTGAAAAGTCATTTTAGATTTTATGTGGCTAACAACACCACACATTCT